AGTAAAATGCCCTGGAAATGGTGATAGGTTAAGAAAATGGAGAAAACTCTTGTGGTGGTTGCTTTATGATTAGAAGCCCATACATTAAGCTGAAGTTAGAGATGTTATTTGCACATTTAAAATGAGTGCCCACTTAAAGGTATTTCTGAACCAACCCTGTGTGTAGTGATGGTATAATTAAGGAGCTGAGAAACACAGGCAAGGCAAAGTCAGCCAGGGATTCCTCACTAGCAGGCCTTCAGTCTCCTACATTTTTGCCATGTGTTTTAAAAAAAAAGACGTACTAAAATGATGTTCTCCTTTTCATCCCTGATTTTTTAAAAATCATTGTATGAATATAATCTGTAAATAGGGTTTTTGAAGCAGATCAAGGGCAAATGTTTTTGTAAATCCCTCTCTATGCTGTCATGGATCCATGTGTTTAGCAAGTAGATACTTAGAGTGATGGAACAGCCTTTCTTCTTCCTTATAGTCATGAAGATTTGGAACAACTCCGCATTCAAGTCAATGGGATCATACTGTGTAAATTAGTATATGGGAAAGAAATATAGGTGCCTCACCTTCTCATTGTGTATCCTCGTTGACTGAATTAGTTTCATTGGTGTAATGAAGGTTGGATTCAACCCTGGATCTCTTGATAAAACGTATAAATGCAGCAGTCATGGCTGGGTCTTAAATTATGACTGGCTGTGAGAGCAGAGAATGCAGACGATTTGCTTGATTGTTTTGTTGTTTACTTAGTTACTGACATGCAAGCCTCATTTTCAGAATTAGAAAACTGCTCTCAAGGAGGCACAGGACCATCAGATTGAGTATATTCCATGTGATGAGCTAATGTGTGTCATTTGTAAAAAATGCCAAGACCCTCATTGTAAATAAATCTAGATTAAGGACAGATCAATTCCAAGTCAGTGAATATTCATGTGTGAGTGGAAAGCCAAGGTGACCTCCACATGGGATCTGTGGAATAGCAGTTTCTTTTTTATTAGCTCAGTTGATAATTCGTTTTTATTTGGCCATATCCATGATAATTCATTCCT